CGGCCTTCTAAAAATCATTAAACTATTCCAAATTGGCGACGATAAAACAAAGCAGAACTGTTTTAGCTTTTCCCAAAGCAAAGAGAAAATCCATTTTCCTTGTAAATATTTCTTTGTTCCAAATTTGCCCATATAGTGACCTGTATCTCATAAGGCGTGTCTCCCTTACGGGCTGCCTAAATCCCATTCTCCCACAATCATCTAGCTTGACCTCAGTGCCTTTTAAACCCAGGCTGGTAAGGGTTTGTCTTCGCCGCATTGACACAGGCTGTTGCTCCTGAGCCGTGCCCACCTCTCCACCAGTCCCAGGCTGAAAGGAGCTGGTACATGGGGCATAGCCGAAACGCAGGCATGAGCTCCGATTTCTTTTTGGCCTCTGCTACAGACTGGGTCAGTCTGCAGTGGGAGTAGTTTGGACAGCTTCGTTCTCCCAGGGCTACCCTAAAATTTGAGTTGGACTACACTTTCTTCGTTCACTTACTCCTTCTGCTGTATTGCATTTTAAATCCACCTTTGCTTGCTCTAGACATGTAACACTTCTGCAGCGTTAGGACTGAGATGCTATTTAAGCATAATTCTTAAAAACTTTTCAGAGGTATCAGCCCCGGTTTGGACACGGAGCACCCAAACACAGCACAAGATACAGACAAATCAAGAAACAAAACAAACCATCTCCTAACAAGAAAGTTAAAGATCCTGGAGGTCATGCACTGATGGTAGAGAAGAACTTTACATTATACTTAACCGCTCCTGCATAAAGACAGAGGATTCCAATAGGAAAACCAAAAGCTACAAGGGAATATAGAATGGATTGATTGCCTGGCTTGGGATCCAAACACAGCAAAAAATGTTCAATTAGCTCTGTCCTGGTTTTCATCTACATCACGGGTGAAGTCTACAACTACCACCACTACCACATGTAGTCAAGACACAACACCTGGTGAAGACCAGGTTACCCAGAGCAGCACAGGGAAGATGAATTTCCGATGAAATGCACACAGCCAGATGGTGCCTATTTCACTGTAGCTGTATGCCACAAAAAGGTAAGTGAAGAACCAACTTGAGCCTAAAAGCTGATGCTGTTTGTATAAAATCTTTTTTTTTTCCTCCTATTTTGCTTCCATTTTGGTGGCATAGGTGTAAAAGGAAGGGGAATGTTACTTCTTTCTGTGCTTCTTAATTCTATGTTGTCAAGTTACTGCAGTGATCATTGTTCGCTTTACCAAGGTTGCTAATCGGTGGTATTTTCTACTGCTCGAGTCAATCGGTTGGTGGGTTACTGGTTCACAAACTATAAGGAGACACGTGAATCTTAAAAAAAAAAAAAAAAAAAAAAAGAGGCTTTTAAAGTTCTAGGACAAACACATATTGTTTAATCATTAAACTCATCAAATTATGAAATAAATTGAAACCTTGGAGTAAAAATGGACCCATTCATCATGTCATCTGCTGGAGCAGTCCACCAAGCCAGCAAGCCAGCATCATACACAACATCATTATGACAACTCCCATTTGAAGCAGCGATGTAGGCATTTCGCTCACCTCCTTGAGGTCCTGGGAGCCAAACTCAGAATTACAGGGGTTCCTTCTGGTCCCTGCTCTTTGCCAGTAATTCAGTGCTGGCACCAAGCAACTCCTGAGAAAATCTCCACACCTCTGCCTCACCTACAGCAGTAACGCACAGGACACCATGGGAACATGAAGGTGATGAGGTGCACTGGCACCTGAGCGGGATTTGACCCAGAACCAGTCTGTTGTCCCTCCAAGCACACACGCTTGCCTCCACGCAACAACTGCCCAAGAGTGCGATTAGATTCTCTTCTACTGGCTGCTCTCTCATCAGGCCAACACTGTAGGAGCCAGGACAGTGGGGAGGACGGGCTGTCCACTGCACGCATGCACAGCCAAACCATATCCACATTCCCCCAGCAAGGTCCTCTCTGTGAATCCCACCCTGGAGGTCATGAACCACAAAGGAGAGCTAATCAAGGCACAATTACTGAGAAAACACCTTTTCTGGCTGACACATTCACATGCCCTGCAGGGAAAAGTTCCATATCCCTACAAGAAGTATGCACATATCCTTGGAACCCACAATTAATTTAATTTCAATACAGTTTTGCAGTAACTGCCTCATAAACACCCATCACCATTAACACAGAGGACCTGCCAAGACTGGGCTGCTTACCTATCACGTGTGGCAGCCTCTCACACTGCAACAGCAACCTGAGGAGCAACCCGCCTCGCTGCACCACACATTGTACAGCCTGGCCCCAAAAGGGCAGAGAGAGATCATCACACAGCACCATGAGGGAATTTTTCTGTTGCCACTGGAAAGGGCTGGAAGCCAATGTTAGATAAATTCAGATTAAAAATCAGGTGCATGCTTTCACAACAACAACAGGTAACTACTAGCATAGCTGTGGGAGGTTCTTCTTTAAAATCAAGAAGATGTTTATTTGAAATACGAGCTCAGACTTAAACCAGAGACAATTCAAAGTGGTCCTCTAGCCCTTCTCAGGTAAAAGACCAGATGATATTATCCCAGCTTCTCCAAAGCCTCATTAGTGAGGCATGGCAACTCAGTGCTTTCTGGTCTGATCCCTCAGTGCTCACCACCCTGGTCGAGGGCCACTGGTGCTCCAGACTCTGTTGGTTTCACTCCTCCACAACTGACACAACCTTCAGGATCCCCTAACCACAGATGAAAATTTCTTTTCATAACCCTTGAGCCATGTCTCACTTTTGCCCTTGCAGCAAAGCTAGAGTCAATAGCTGATACCAAGCAAGAACAGCAGAAAACCCAACTGTCTTCCTACAGGTTTTGAAAAAGTTTGCCTAGTCTCCTGGTCTTATCTGGTGTTCAGCATCCTAAGTTATGAAGCTTTGGCCGCTACCTTCAGAGGAATCAAAATGCCATCTTACATCACAAATTTTCAAAGCAGAAATCACATCTCCCTGTATATGCATACGCATATGGAGTTGCAACTTTAGGGACTTTGGGCATGAAAATAACACACACAGACATCACAATTTCAAATTCATACTACTTGGATCACACTTTAGTTCCCCGTTCGTACTTCCCAGTTATGATATTCATCTTCCCAAACAGCTCCACGTGCTGCTTTTGGTAATCACATCCTTCAAACACTTGTCCCTGTTATGTCTACCAACATCTACATATTCAAAACAGTCTCTGAAGCACATGCTAAACATCTGTTTCAACCACCTTTCTCTTTAGAGTTTAAGCTGTTCGCTGGAAAATTGCCATCCTAACGGCTAGCTCCTCTGTTAGTGAACTAGAGAATTCATTTTGTATTTATTGATTGTTCCCTAATGAAGAGTCATAAAGGTGCCAGAGTCTCTTGACCAGATACTACTTAATTAGTACCAAAGCGCATAAAATCCCAAATCAAATGGAGCTCTTTGTCCAACAGCTCAGTCACTGGAAAAGAAAAAGATGACATCACTTTCTGCTTACACAGAAGTCCATAAAATTTTATTAAAAAAACCCTAAGGAAATTAAAAAACTATATAAATTGTTCATTTCCTTCCAGTTCCGAAGACACCAAACAGGTCTTCCAGAAACAAAGCGCACTTTGCTAAGGGAGGTATTCTTCATAAAGGACCCAGCAACATGCATAGAATTTATTTTAAACTAGACAAAGGCAAATACCAATAAGACATTTGTCCTCTGAACAATATAATGTTTTACATTACATACAAAGACATAATGCAAAGCATCCAGAAAGTATTAAAAATTACCTCTAATGGATCTGTCTTTTCATCATTGTAGAGCATCAATAGTCCAACTTTTATGTTCCCTCAAACTAAGCTGTATTAGAGTATTTTTTGAGGGTACTTGCCCTCAAGAAGGCAGAGAGATGAACAAGAACTCCATTAAATGGAAAGGGTTTTTTTTTCTCTCAAAGCCTCAAAAACATCCTGAATAACTGATACCTCCTTGCAAGTCTTTCAAATTAAGTCATCCTGAAAGTTAATTCCCTCTTTTCCATATCATTTAAATTCTCAATTAAATAATTGAGAAAATAGCAGGAAGGAAAAAAGTCAACTAACAGAAGGAGGCAAAAGCCCACCACTACGTGGCAATAGCACTGCTGCTTCTGTTAGGCACTCTGCTTTTGGAAGGCATCTGTCTTCAGAGCAGTAAAGTAGCTTAAATTCTTTGGGATAACATAAGATGCACACAAGGAAATAAAGATTCACAATAACACAGAATCCATTAAATACAGGTGCCCTCATAGTAATTTACAATCCCTGATGTAATTATTACCACATATGTGAGGAAAAACCCCTTAATACATCCAAAACCACAATCTTTTCCTAAAAACTACCACTCCAACGCCAAACACTTGTTCTGCAAAAAATTCAAAATCCTACTCAGGATCTCTGCCCTATATTCAGCAGCCAACGTGATACAAGCTTCAACCACCCGAAGCTTTTAGCCTTCTTACCATAAGGATAAATGAGTGTATTCCTCAAGAAAGAGAGCAGGTTTGTCCAGAGAGAAAATGGAGTAGGACAAGCACATAAAGGACGAAACAACCACAGTAAGGCAAATATCCCAGGAAGGCAGAATAGCAAAGACATGAATGGGCTTCTCAGGCATATGAATTTGGCTTCTGTACCATAATCCATTATTCTTTCCTGGTTTGTTTGTTTGTTTGTTTGTTTTTTTAAACCACACCTTTTTTTTCATAATTGTAAAATTACACCAACAGCATCTCGGGTATCCCATATCATTTCACTAAGTCTTCCACAGAGTTTTGTTTTGTGCTTCCAAGCACATGAGACTAGATGCTCACCGGTACATCTCCCCGAGAAAATTAGCTCCAAAACAGTAGAAAAGAAGAAAAGAACCGTAGAAAAGTATGTAGAAAAGAAAATGACAATACAACAAGAGGGACAGCTAGCCACAGAGAAGCTTGGGAAGGGTCACCAGCGCTGCAGAGTGTGGTCGCACAGAAACCTCTGCTTACCCCTTGCTCGGATTCCAGCAGCTCTGTTTTGACTCTGACTGCCGGCATCCCATCAAGCATTAACATTCTGTTCTCAAAGGCGCTGATGTCCTAAGGCAAAAAAAGGAAAAGGTTAATCAAAAAAATGATGAAAAACACTTGGTTTAATTCACTGGTTTAGTTCTACAATATTGTAGAAATAAGTAAGTTTCTTTTAGCAGAAATAAGGTTAACAAAGCTGTACTATTAATTTCAAGGAGTAGCTACCAAGTTACTACTTCAGTTAAAACAATAAATTATACTTCCAGTTAAAAGAGAACTAAGTCTTTGTAAGCAACACGGGAAAATCATCTCCAATTACTATTTTTTAATTTGAAATTAATCACGCAGGTGCACACGTATAAATTCCTCACTTTGGAACTGGAAAGGAGAGCACTGATGTCAAATAGCTTCAGGTTTTTGGCAGCATACTCAGGTATATTTGATTTCAATCAAAACATTTGTACTTCTGTATTACCTACAGAAAGCATACACTTGAATTCAGAGAAGTTATAGTGAAGGTCTGTACACACACACACTATAAATTAACACACATCAACAACTCCTCAGATTTCGTATCATTCATTATCTTGTAAAGTTATTAGCATTTGTTTTCAGTAGAATGTAGTTAGGAGAGTTTAGGTTAACAGGTTGCCCAGAGGGGCTGTGAACTCTCTGTCCTTGGAGACACTCAGAAACTGTCTGGGCATGGTCCAATGTGGTCTAGGCGGCCCTGCTCGAGCAGGGGAGTTGGACAAGATGACCTCCAGAGGTCCCTTCCAACTCAGTCATTCTGCGATTCTGTGTGATATGTCAATGAAAATCTCCACGCACTCACCTCTGACACAAAAATAAAAAAGCATGTTAAAAAACATAAATTGTCCTTGGGGTAACGGGCAAGATATGCTGAGAGCTCCAACCTGAAGCGAGATTTGCAGAACTGTGCTTCCCTGAATCGACATCCCTGCTCCGAATGTCTCATCCCACTGTTGCTGGAGTAGTTGACGTAGAGAAGCAAAACAACCTCTTGTGCCTTCAGTTCAAACACTACCTCAACCCTAGTCAATTTTCTATTCCAGATGAGGCTCAAGGCTGGCGTTTGAAAGCTAGCCCCCTCAGCTGCCATTTAGCTTGGACAACACAGAGAGAATAAAAGAGATTTTATCCCCCACC